AAACCCCCACACCCATCCTCTTGAGACCTCAGCTTCTCCAGAGTCCTCACTGCTTCCCCTACCACCATGGGACTGCTCAGAGCTGGACACAAGGAAAACAGAAAGGAACACAACCATGGGATTTCCCCCTCCACATGAGCCTTAGAAGCACCCACCTCCCAAAAGCCAGTCAGAGGCCATCTCCTGGAATGGTTTCTCCCGTGTCCACGGCTGGGCTGTGGGCTTCCAGGATGTGGGTCATTGAGGGAAAACTGGAAGAACACTGCCAGTCTGCTAATACATTAAGTTCTGGTATTCTTCCCAACCTGTCTGCTATGACTAATGTTTCAGAGTCTCAAACAGCTACGAAGTGCATTCTGTCCAAGCCATTAGCGGCACTCGGTGACAGAGACATGGGAGTGCATCTACTCCTTATCTAGGATGGAATCTTGCTTTCCTATGTTTAATTACTCACTCGAAAGAAAGGACATAAAATAGGGATTAAATCCAAAGCTGTTTTGCTAAGATACTAAAGCTTTTTTGGCAATTTGGTACGCCCAAATGCTACGGAGAGTCCTTCCACATAAAACAGTCAAGCGGCCCGCTGAGGAGAGCCTGACCAGCTCCCCCTGCTTTCAGGCATTATGCAAAGCAGAGGACTGCTGGTCAGCGTTCCTCGAGAGCATGACTAAGGTGGACCTACCTGAAGCGTCTTGCAGGTGACATCAGGAAAACGGAATGGGTACTAATCTAAGTCTCAGTCTAATATGCACTCTGTGGAGACGGCATAACAAAACCCATTGTTTTGCATGCTCATTAAAAAAAAAACTGGGGCTGGAGAGATGGCTCATCAGTGTGTGAAGAGCACATACGGCTTCCAGAAGAGCCCAGCACCTAGCACCAGAGCTTCAGGACTCAGATGGATGAGACGCCTCTGGCCACTATGGGCACCTGCATGCATGTGTACACACCTACCCAAACACACAATTTATATTTTTGGTTGTGAGCCTAGCCTTTAACAGCTGAGCCATATCTCCAGCCCTCAGATACACAATTTAATGTTTTTTTTTTTAATCTTAAAAAAAAAATAAAGCTGATTTTTAATCAGTTTAAATTTATCCTCTACTACAAGAGAGTCATACAGAAAAGAATCCGAGACTTCAGTCTTTTTCACCTTTCACAGTGGACCATGTACAAACCCGGCAGCCTGTGTGGCTTAACTCTCTGTCAACTTGGCACAAGCCATGGTCATCTGGGAAAAGGGACTCTGAATTGAGAAAATGCATCTATAAGATTAGCTTGTAGGGCACTGTCTGTTGGGCGTTTTCTTGGCTAATGACTGATGTGGGAGGGCCCGGCCCACTGTATGTGATACCAACTCTCAGCAGGTGGTCCTGGGTTGTATAAGAAGGCAGGCTGAGCAAGGCAAGGGGAAGCAAGCCAGTAAGCAGCAGCATGCGCGAGAACGCACACACACACCACACACACACATCACACACACATCACACACACACACCACACACACACACACACACACACACACACACACACACACACACACACACACACACACACACACACACACACACACACACACACACATCACACACCACACACATACACACACACATACACATCACACACACCACACACACATCACACACCACACACATCACACACCATACACACACATACACATCACACACACATCACACACCACACACACCATACACACACACCACACACACACACCAGACATACACACACACCACACACACACATCACACACACCATACACACCACACACCACACCACACCATACACACACATCACACACACACCACACACACGTTACACACACACACATACACACACACACACACACTGCCCAGGGCTTCTGCCTCAGCTCCTGTCTCCAGGTTCCTTGCCTGCTTGAGTTCCTGCCCTGACTTCCTTCAGTGATGGACTATGCTTGGATGAGTAAGCTAAGTAAGCCTAATAAAGCCCTTCCTCCCTAGTTGCTTTGGGTCATTTTATCATAGTAATAGGAATCCTGGCTACGAATGACCTATACCTCCTGGTCCACAATTATTCACAAATCAAGTTTAATGTACACTTTCTAACTCTAGGAGAGATGAAGGTGAATCACTAACATCCCCTTGAAAATTAATGAGAAGAGAAGGAACTACTTGGACAAGAATACGGACACTGGACCCAGAATGTCTGCACTCAAGCCCAGCTCTGCTACTTACCAGCTATCTGATGTGGGAAAAGGCACTTCCCTTCTCTGTATATCAATTTCCTTAGCTGAAAACTCTTTCTGACACACGATGACGTCCCATAAATATTAACTGTCCCCTCTCCCTCCTGTTTCCAGGCAAGTGCTACTTGTGGCATGCCTGGGTTATGACTTTTGAACATATAGAAGAGTATGTAAAATGTTAATGCACAGTCTAATGAGTCACTGTGAAAGGAATATTCTCCTAACCCCTACTCAGGTCACTAGAGAGAACATTCCAGTTCTGAGATGCTCTCACCACTACCCCAGCTATGATGGAATTCAATCTCTTATTTGTTCTTATTGTTTTAACACTGAATTGTGCATCTAAGCAAATATGGTTTCATGTTCTTTTGAAGTTCATACAAATGAAAGCCAATATATATTCTCTATTGTCTGTCTCTCTCTCTTTTTTAAAGACTCATCCATGTTATTGTTGGGCATGTAACTCAGTGCTGGCATACTTGCCTGGCACACACAAGCCCAAGATTCACTTCCTAGCACCACAAAAATGAAATAAAATAAACAAAACTTTACAACATTTTTTGTCTCTTAGAGCAGGGTTTGGTAGCACACATCTATAATACCAGCACTTGGGAGTCTGAGCCAAGACGGCTGCTGCAAGCAGGAAGCCACCCTGGCTACATAAGGAGTGCCCAGCCAGCTAGAAGTGGGGGCACCTAGTAAAGCCAGGTGTGGCAGCACAGGCATATAACCCAGAGGCAGAGGCAAGGGGATTGCCAGTCTGAAAACAGCCTGCTTTACAAAGAGCATTCCACAGAAGCCAGGATCCTATCTCTACATCAAGGCTTTCATAGCAAGATCATGTCTCAAGAAATAAAAATTTTAAAAGGCAAAAAACAACTTTATCTGCATTGTCAAATGTCTATAACTCGCTCCTTCTTTTTTTTTTTTTTTTTTTCTTCTGTTCCATGCCAATATGACATTTGTGTCCTCACAGCTGCTCCCTGTGTGGGTTGTTTTGGAGTCTTACAATTCTGGACAATGCCTGGAACTGAGAGAGCCACCTCCCTGACCCGAGTGAGGCTGGGTTAAAGGGCAGTGTGCCAATTAGTGTGTCTTACATTGTAAATACAGGAAGGGAGGGAGTGTGCCTGCCTGTGACTGTCACAAGAGCACAGGCAGGCGTGGCACTCCCCTCCTGAAACACCAGGCATGAATGCAAACATGGAACACATGTCTGAGGAGATATTAGCAGCCATCCCTGCAGCCATCCCTGTAACGAAGGTGTCTGGAGGAGGACCCGTCAGGGTGTGTGGTGTTCAGATTCAGCTACACACCGCCATCCTCTTTTTTGACATGACTATACAAACCTGACTTCCCACTCGGTGGAGACTTGCTTCTGCTCCGTCACGGCCCTATCAACACTGGAACTGTCAACGCTGTCATGTTTTGTTGTTCCCTGGATGTGTAATGACATCTCAGTAGGATTCCAATGTTCGCTTTCTTGGATACAAATGTAATTGAAATCCTTTCCATAGATTTAGTTCAACTCTTCTGTTCATTTCTGTACTGGGTTGTTTTTTTGGCTTTCTGTTTTGTTTTGTTTTGTTTTCCTCTCTGCAGCCCTGGCTATCCTGGAACTCACTCTGTAGATCAAGTCTTCTGCTCATGTTGGTATTGGATTGTTCATTCTGTGTGTTTCAGGACAATTAGGGAAATCAAAGCTAGTGTGAGGGATAAATCACCAAGGGACACAGAAAGCCCCAGCACAGACACATCTTCCTGTGATGGGAAGATGGTGGGAATATCTTTCCTCTTGTCCTCTCTACCACAACTGCCTGAACCTCGTGTCATGAACATGAATGGGTCATGTATAAGGTCAGTGAACAGAGTTTTAACCACTTTCCAGAGGCCAAGCAGAGACCTTTCTCCCTGGTATTCCGGATGGCTCCCAGTATGAAGCAGACCGTCTTCACCTAAGGATGCCCGTCCCCTGGCTCAAAGTTGTTTTGAGGTTCCACGCTGCACCCTCCAGGAGTCAGAGGAATGGAAGCAGCTGTCCTTCCTGCTCTGCCAACAGAACCGGGGTATGGGGGTGGGCGGGAAAGGACTGCTTCAGACCGGGACAGCCACCTCCTGGCCTCAGTAAGCCTGGGTCAAAATAGTGTGTGCCAAATAGCATGTCCTACACTGTAAACACAGGAAGGGAGGGAATGTCTGATAGCGACTGGCACAGGCAGGTACAGCCACTCCCGCTCCTGGAGCTCTCTACCTGAGCACATGGGTGTGTAAGTGAGGGCATGTCCTCAGGAAGCTGGGCTGCCCTAACAGCGAAGCATTCTGCAGGCGAGCCCTGATGGGTATCTATTGTGCTCAGAGCTGGTGGTCTCGTAAAGTCCTCTGCCGTACAGGGCATGCGCTCAGAGACCAGGCAACCTCTCATATGAAATGGGACAGTTCTGTGAGGAAAAACCATCAGCTAGAAGTCCCAGTGCAAACCCTGGCTGGCCTGGAACGCCTCATGTACACCAGGCTGGCCTCAAACTCATGGCGACTCACCTGTCTCTGCCTGAGCCCCCACTCCCACGCCCAGCTCAGTGACACTTGTTTCCCATCATGTCCTCCTCCTGCTCCCTCCATGGTGAAGCCTTGGGAACTTCCCCATAATTCTTCAGATCTCTTGCCATCCCGCAGTACCCCCAACAAACTCCTCAGGCTTCACAACAAACATGGCCAATACTAAGGGCTGAGAAGACGATAGAGGGGGAAGAATTGGTACCTGTGCCTAGTGTTTGTCCAGCGGAGTCAAGGGAAAGAAGCAATGAATCTGTAACACAAGAGGACAAGTTCATGTCTTTCTTCTGTAGTCAGACAAGTGCCTGCTGGCTCCACCCAAACCCCGTGGCAGGCCGCTCCCTTCCTTATATTCATAAGCATGTTTATTTGCTATTCCCAACTCCCCCGCCCCCAAATAAAACCCTGAAAGTAGTGAACGATAATTTATAGCATATGCTAGGATAATAAATGAAGACGTCAAAGAAAGGGAAGATATTATATGGCGGGAAAGCTGTTAGTGCACAAAATACATGCCACCAGGGTGCCACCGGGGCCTTTGCAAACACAGCAGGCAGAATCAAGGTGAGTGTGAGCTCTGAAGCAGCCAAAGCAAAGGAAGAGAACAGTTCTGAGATCCAGGGCCCGCAATGCGTTCTTCTTCCATTCGATCACACAGTTGGGAAATGTTTGTTGGGCATCTACTGCACCAGGACCCTATGATACAGTAGTCAGCAATAACCACAACAAAACATGGCCTCCACTCTCGAGGGCCTCCTTGCCCTTCATCTTGGAAAGAGAAGTTAACAGAGAACAAATTACTCAGCTAGACACAGATGAAAGCAAAGTTAAGAGGATGCTGCTTGCTTTAGGGACCGGCTTGAGGGTGCTGGGCAGGAGGGCCTCCCTGGAGAAGCTGGCCCTTGGCCTAAGTGTGAAGGGTATTGAGGGTTAAAGCCAACAAGAATGGAATGGGCACCCCAGGCAGAGAGAAGGAAGAAGGGACTAGGTGTTTCTGAGCAACTGGAAGACCAAAATTCAAGTAAATGCTGTATGTTTTCCCTGAGAGTCTTTGCAGAGAGGGACAAAGCAAAGTTGACAGTGTTTCTCCTTCAATACTTCCTGAGTTTGCAGTTGGGAATCTTGTACGGCTGTCTCCTAACATGTGACCCAACCTCAAATGATGCTATAAGCCAATGTACAGTTCAACAATCACATGGTGAGGGACACCAAGACTTAAGAGATCAGATCCAAAAGGCTTACTCACTGCAGAGTGCTAGCTGGACACAGACTGGACACAACTTGTGTACAGCCCCAGCCCACTCCACAGTACATTCCAGATCTCACTACACATGGGAATTCAGCATTATCATAACTCTAAGCCATAGGTTCCCGATGCTAGCAATAAACTCAATAAAAGCAGACATGACAGCTGCTCACTCGAGGCTATGTCACAATCACCACACCTGAGACTTAAGAACCACTGGGGAATCACAGTTTCTACAGAAATGCCCAGACAACAAACCCTTCAGGCAGTCCTTCAGAAATATGCTTAGTAACAACCGTGGGACAGTGAGCCGGGGATGTGGCTCCGGAGAGGACCCAGAGGCAAGCATCCTGCATCACCAGGTAAGAGCAGATTGTGTGCTTTGAAATGCACCAAAAAAGGGGCAGGACAACTCATTCTTTACAGAAATACAGATGTGCCATCAGACCCCTTGATGAACCAGCTGGCCATCCCACCTGAATGAGCAGTGTTTAACTCAAGAGTTCTGCTCCTTTATCAGTATGTTTTGGGTCTGTTTCCTCTCAGGGAGGTATGTATGCTCCCCCTTTTAAAACTGTAGCCAGAGGTCTCACCCACCTGGAGGATTCAGAAGATCCCCTGAGGAGCTGACTGCCCAGGTGAGCGACACTTTTTAAAGACAGCTCAAGAGCTGGGCAGATGGCTCAGGAAATAAAACACTTGCTGTTCAAGTGTGAGGAGTGGCAAGTCGAGCCCCAGAACCCCTGGAAAAAAGCAGGTGGGGTATGATACCTGCCATGATCCCAAGCTCAGGAGGAAGCGGCAGGGATTCCCAGGGCAAGCTGGGTGGCTAGACTAACTGACTCAGTGAGCTCAGAGCTCAGAACAAGACCCTGTGTCAGAATGGAGATCAAGGAAGATACCAGAAGTCAACCTCTGGCCTACATACATGAATGCGTGTGCGTGAGCTTGCACACACATTTGTATATGCACATATACACACATGCCAAAAAAAAATCTTAAGTACCTAATTTTCACTGCTGTTGACATAGTTTTCCAATTATAATTTACTTTCATTATACTCATAAGCAATCCTGATTTAATCTTTTTTTTTAAACTTTTCGATCCAAACATAATAAATAAATAAATAAATAAATAAATAAATAAATAAAAACCCAAAAACTGAGCCTTAGCTAAATATCTGAAGAACAGTAACTGTTGACAGTGACTGCCTCTAGTGGTAGGCTTTACAAAATGTCTGCAGTGAGCATGTGTTATTTGTATCAAGGGAGGTGGAAGGTAGGGCTGGGTGCTGACACTCACTGGAGTCCAAGCTACTTGGTCTGAGGTGGGAGAGCACTGCTTAAGACCAAAAGTGGTGTGTGTGTGTGTGTGTGTGTGTGTGTGTGTGTGTGTGTGTGTGTGTGTGAGAGAGAGAGAGAGAGAGAGAGAGAGAGAGAGAGAGAGAGGGGTGGGGGAGGGAAAAAGATTAAAAATAACCACTCCAGTGCAAACTGGTGTGGAAGCCAAGGCTTAGCAAACTCCTGATCTTTTCCGTTATTTCTGCTGATGGTTGTCTTTTCAGTTACTGGAACCAGCTACATCGACCCCTTGATGAAGCATCCTCCCCCCCATCTCCCTTTCTTCTTCCTTCCTTCCCACTGTTTATTCCTTGGTCCTAGGGATGGAACCAGGCCTTGCACAAACTAGGCAACGCTCCCACACTGAACTACACCCCAGACCCCTTCCCGAGAACATTACTAAATGCCAATGCTCAGGAAGAGAGATCTCTGCCTTGCAGGCCAGGAAGGTGGATGAGTTGGAGGTAAAGTGTGATCAGAGTCTTGGGAGGGAGGCGTGGGGCAGGTGGCTGTGTCCTGGGAAGCAGTCACTGCAAATGCTCTCTGCAATGGTGGCTATGCTCCGGAAGCATGTGCCTTCTGAGTTCAGATGATGCGAGTGAGAGGAAGTGAGGGACATATTCATGCTTTGTGTAAGTTCAAATGAATTTTGTTTTGAGTATTAAAAGCATGGAACCAGAAACGGTTCCGCGATTCATTATTTGTGTTTATTCTAAAGGATGTGAGATTATTTTAGTTATAAACCACATTGACAGCTTATGGGAAAATTTAGCATTCAACAAAGTGAGAGGTTTGCTTTGCAAGCAACAGAGCAAGAATCCAGACTTCTCCCTCTGCAGCTAACAAATATGTCAATTTTACTTGAGCGTTCCAGGTCCCAGCTGTTTCTGGCTCCTAGGCCAGAGGCAGCCATGTGGCGTGTTGCACAAGTGACCAAACAGAACCCCAGACCAAAGCATGACAGAGCTGGCTGCACAATGAGGAGAGCTAGAATTTACTGGAAGCTTTTTATTATGGTCAGATGTTTCCTGTGTCTGGTTTCTGAAGCAGAATATAGAGAATATGGAGGGAGTAAGGAGGTTGCAGCTGGTATTCTTAGTTTGGGAAAAGGCTTCAAAAGCCCCAGGCATGCATAAATGAGCCATACTCTGAGGTGCCCCTGCCTATCACCCTATACATTCCACACATCTAGATTTTCTGCTATCCAGCCCCTGCAAGCTTCAGGAATGTAAGAATGGGGAGAAAACAAACTGTTTCCAAGCAAATAGGTAAAATGCAAACAGATAAAACTAACATGTCATTGTGACAAGAACAGAAAAAAAGAGCAATATGGGAGATTCCAAGGCTCTGAAATACAGAAATATCACTACACACCGCACATAGTAGGAACACCGGCCAGCAGACCATAAGAACAGGGGTGTCCCTATTCTCAAGAAATCCACACGTTAGTTGGCGTGGTGGTGGTGAAATCCCATCTACATAAATAAACAGTCAATTCTGACACACACAGGGAGTTGATGTGAAGAATAATTAGGCTGTGTCGAAAGGCCAGGGGTGGACGAGCAGACATGATCCATGGCGTGTTTGCGGCATGTGAGCTGAGACCGGAAGACAGGACCTGAGGCAGGAAAGGCAGTGGCAGAGAGAGGGAGAGCAAGGCCGGAGCCTCCCTATACCTAAGGGAGCATGGAGGGCCAGCTGCTGGAGCAGAGAGAGCAGGAAGGTGGGATGCGCTAAAAGAAGAAAATGGACTTGGGGAGAGATGCCTGTGTCCCACTCAAGAGCAGAAAAGAAGCCTTTTAGAATTCTCCTATTTAAAAAAAAAAAAAAAAAAAATCTCAAGTGTTCAATTTTTTTTTTTTTTTTTTTTTTTTTTTTGAGACTGAATGTCTGTAGAATAGGCTGTCCTCAAACTCAGAGACCCACCTGTCTCCGCTTCTTGAGTGCTGGGATTAAAGGCAGGCATGTGCTATCACCACTGGGGTTTAAACATTTTTTTAAACATTTATTTATTTTTATCTAATGTGCATGAATATTTTGCCTCTGTGTGCACCACACAGGTCCCCAGTGGCCATGGAAGCCAGGAGAAGGCAACAGATCCCTTACAGCTGATTGTGACCCAACATGTGGGAGCTGGGAACTGAACCTGGGTCCTCTGCAAGAGCAGCAAGTGTTCTTGAGTGCTGAGCCATCTCTCCAGCCCACGTATGAGTGTTTTGACTTCATACAAGTCTGTACCACTTGTGTGCCTAGTAACCATGGAGGCCAAAAAAGAACATTAGATCCCCTGGAGTTGGAGTCACAAACATTTGTAAGCCACCATGTGGGTGCCGGGGATCAAAACCAGGTCCTCTAGTAAAGCAGCCAGTGCTCTTAACCACCGAGACAACTCTCCAGGCCCAGGAAGCCTTTGAGAACCAACAAAGTAAGCTAGGCAGGACAGAGAGGTGTGTGCCAGTGTTAGAGTGTCTGGCCAGAGCTCAATCTCAACAGCACTGAAAACAAGACAAACAAAAGCTTCAAAAAAAAAATAGGAGCCTAAAGGGTTCTGGTCTGTATTCTCAAATATAAACTGGCTGCTTTATAGGAACTGAGTTGATTACCCTGCCACACACAACAGAGTAGAAGGTAGTCAGGAGAGGGAGACTGAGCCAGAGAGATGGACAC